TTTTTTTGGCGTATTTCTTTGCCTCTTTTGGTGTGTGTAGGTCCAAGTTGTTCGAAATTGGAGGAAAACGAGCCATTGTCCGAGCCGTTGTCCATGTTTTTTTTTTATGCCGAGCCATTTCCGAGACGAGTTAGTCAAACCATTTGATCGAGCCACACGAATTCCCGAAAGAGAGATTGCCATTATTACCTCACGATTCGTTGCGAACCCCGAGTCGCGCTCCGCGAACAAGCGCACAAGATGGTCATGCTAGCCCACACTCGCAAGCGAACACCACTTCGCGACCGGCGAAGGCGCAACCCACAACACCACAACACCACACTCGCAGGCGAACACCATTTCGCGACTGGCGAAGATGCGATCCACAGCACCACAACACTACACTCGCGAGCGAACATCCATTGGCGATCCGCGAAAGCCCATTCCAGCACTACAACACCTCAAACTCGCCAGCGAACCATGTTTCGAGACCTGCTGACTTTAGAATCATTAAATGTGTGTGCATCTAGTGTGTGTTTTTGGAGATGCACTATATATATGTTTTTTTCCTTTGTATTTTGGGGATCATTCCCTCATTTTTCACTTTTCCTCTTTGGGAAACTAGCTTATGTTTAATTTTTGCTCTCTAGATTAGGAGCTTATGCTATTTTCTGGGAGATTTTCCGGCGACTTCGGTTTCGTTCAAGTTTCGAGCTTTTGACTCCGTTTTTCATCGTCTACGCAATGGGAGATTGAGTATTTAGTTTTAAAGCTCTTTACTTCGTTTTTGCTCCGGTTTTACTTATAATGCTTATTAGCGTAAATTGGATTTGATTGATGATGGTGGAAATGCTTGAACTTGATTGCTTGCTTGAGTAGATAGAGCCGTTAATTACTTGTTGATCTCGGTTAGACGACTAGGGTTAGCAATCTAATGCTCGTAGCTCGTTTATTCCGTATGTCGATTGATTATCATCCCGTCATGGTTATGGCATGAGACTCTGGTAATCTAGTTTGCTAAATGCTCGCCTTTTGATCTTGCTTTCAATTAATTGCTCGTTTTTAAGTGCTTGATTAGTGTTAATCAACCATCCAATCAATTGTTTAGAATGTTTAGGATTTTATTTTCCACTTTTTGTGATTTGGACGATCATCCAGTAGACAAAGCTCCGAATAGCCTTCCTTCGAGATCGACCCGAGTCGGGTAGCTCGGTTATCCCTTGCCCATCTATTCTATATTAAACAATAGATTTCGGTAAAATCCACGATGTACTGTCATTGCAGAGATTTTCTTCCATCTAAAGAATAAATAAGTCAAAAAAAATATACAAGTGCGATAAAATCAAGCATATAAAAATAC